AAAGACAATTTCCCTAATGTACTCAATCTGACAGATGACCTATCTCTATGATATCATTTGTGATAGTCTCCCGCAACAATGTGGACTTCAGTGAGCGTGAACGCATGTTCCTCATGAAATGACATTGCCTTCAGGGTGCCAACATGTGTCATCTTTCTCGAGATACGTTCTCGATTGCTGTTCGCATGAGAGTTGAGTTTATTCTCCAGAGGACAAAAAGGCCTAGCTTGAACATGCCAAAAACTTTGGAATTTTGACTTGAGCCGTCCCTTATAGATACTGTCTTTTTACGTTAGTGAGCCGGATCATTTGGCTCGGCTCTCTTAAAGCGCCGCTGTAAACTTTCGGCTCCCGAACGGCTCTTCATGTTACCACAGTTTACCACGGAGCCTCAGTTTCGCCGCTGCGAGGCTCCGGCGCTCGCAGATCACGCGCGTGCTCCACTAGAACCGCTCATCGCGTCCAAATCACGCACGTTCCGTGTTGTCATGTAGCAGGCACCTTCGATGTCGGGGAAACGATCTTCAATACTCCGAAAAGAATCCCACCAGACTCCTTTGCCCCTCCAACAGAGGGATGTCCTTGTCCTTGTTTCCTTTTCGTCATTTCAAGCGATAAAAATTCTCGATCTTCTCTCGAATTATTAATATTTTTGGACGCCCTCGGCTCACGTTCAGGGCCGTTCAGGCCGTCAAATGACGGCAAGACGGCCCCCTGGCGGAAACGCTGCCCCCATTTTTTTAAATCACTTTCTTTCACGTCGAATAGGGCTGCACGATTTGGGGAAATAATCTAATTGCGATTTTTCTGACAGATATTACGATATTTGTTTTTAAGCGACCCAACGGAAGTTTATTGTAAAAATGCGGCCATATCTACGGCTAGGAAGGTNTTGTAGCCCTTGAAAGGGTTTTGGAGGTTGGTGCCTCGGTGAACGTGAGTTGTTTGGCTTTCTTGTCCGCAGCAGCAGAAAGCATTTTCGAATGTTTGAATGAATTCAAACATTCGAAAATGCTTTCTGCTGCTGCGGACAAGAAAGCCAAACAACTCACGTTCACCGAGGCACCAACCTCCAAAACCCTTTCAAGGGCTACAAGAAACGAAGTGAGTAGCCTACAAGATTGAAGCTGGTCAGATAAGGAACGATTAAATGAAAACGGAATGAGGCGGATAAGTGTGTGTGTGCGTGTGTGTGTGAGATTAAAAAAGCCCAATTGCTTTTACAATAAATAAACATTGAATGTGTTTAATTTAATAGTAAAGGGGTTTAACGTTAGTGGCAGGTTGTGTGTGAGAGAGAATAAATAAGACAGCCCAATATTTAAAAAAATTGTTATTGTTTTCCCCCGCATATTTCGCAACTTCCCGCAATTTCACCGCATAAAATCACATAAAAACCCCGCATGTTTAATCGCATAATCAAGGATTTTAGCCCGCATAATCAAGGATTTTTGCCCGCGTTTTTCTGGAGGGTCTATAAAGTGGGAAAAGTACTCCGGTGTGAACGCGGCTAATGTTAGGATTGCTAGCAGATAACGATGAACCGGAATTGTTTTTTGGACGTCAAGTTTAACATTGAATTAAGCCAGGATATGACACCAAAGCAAGACAATGCGGCTTCAAGAGAGAAGACTGACTGACAAAGGAGCTCAGAACAGGACCAAAGGGGTTTATTGAGCGCAAGATTTCTTTTCAGGAAGTTATCTGATCATTAAAAAGCTCCTGGCAGTAATACTTGCATTTTCTGGGTCCTTTTTTTTTTGTTTTTTTTTTGCACATGGTACATGATTAAGAAGTAATGGCAGGTTATTAGAATCAGAATCCCTTTATTAGTCCCACAGAAGAGAAATGTACGTTGTTACAGCAGAAAAAGAGCCAAAGACAGCGTAATGTTACGTAGAAGCATGCATAAAAAAGTATTAAGGTTGTGTTCGTTCCCCATATAAAAAACCATTAGTACTCTGTTTTTATACAAAGAAAGTTCAAAATAACCAAGTTCACTCACTGCGGGGTTATTCAAAAGCCATTCTGGGAATCAAGGAAGTCATTACACAAGCTATTAGTAAACACAGCTGTCGATGGAGATACTCAACATTTTCTGCCAAAATAAAACGTTGGTGTCTTTCAGAGATGACTATAATCTGGACTTGAGTTATAACTGTGATCATATGAATGTACACAACAATTATCTATTTCACCATAGAGTGGCTTCTATTATAGAAGTGCTGTGCCTTAATTATTTTAATGGGTCAGTCCTGTAACATTGTTGTTTTGCTCCGTGAGAACATTTGAAAAGAATACAAAGTATTAGTATTACCATTGGATGCTTGCTTACATGTTGCCGTTTTATAAACCTTGTTGCGATCAAATAATATCTTAAAATACCAGTTTGATGTTGCATTGTATTTTTGCCGTTACAATATTTATGTGTGTTGAGTTTTCCTTACATATCTCCTCCTGAATATGGCTGAGAGAGCAATTTCCCTCCCATTTTCCATACCAGATAGCATCAGATAACTGACTGTTGCTAAGAGACCTGAAGTCTAACCTCAAACAATCCTTGTATGTATCGTTAAACTCCAACCAAATGATCAACAGGAACTGATATCATTCTTGCTTATCTAGTTATCTGAGACCTACAGTCCAGGATCCATTTGCTTGAGCAAACATTACGTTTCATTAAATAAAAAAAGGACATCTTGTCAACTATTTAATGGCAGATATTCAAATACAGAAGGCTTTTTATGCTACAAACTGCACAATTACATGTCATTGTAGACTGTATGAAATGTAAGATCTGCTGTCAACCCCAGGAGAAAATGATTTCAAGCAACCTGTGAGATTAACTTTTGCTGCATGACTCACGCTAAACGGCCGACTCATTTCCCTGGCGGGAGAGTTTGCGATGACAGAAGGTTGGAGGCTACGTTTGTTCCACCTTGAAATTCAACCCACTGTACTCAAAATGTGATTTAGTTACGTAATGCCAACGCACGACTCCATTCAACAGTTAATTTATATCTAAATGACTATACTTGTGATGCTGTTCACAATAGGGTATAAGCAACCGTCATTGTTCATCCTACCTTCTCTAATGCGTCTGAGTTGCAGCCTGGCAACACAGAAAGATTATTTCGACGTTATGGCTGAACGATTAATCGATTTTAAATCTAAATCGCGATTTTAAATGATGCAATTATCAAATCGCAAAGCCTACGATTTCTTTTTTTGTTCTTCTTGTGTGTCAGTCATCCACACCAATCAGAAGTGCTGTGCTCCACATGTACCAGCCATTGTTAATCAATCAGAAGTGGCCCATGATAGAAGGTGATAGACGGATTGATCCAATCACCTGCCAAGTGTTTTTGAAAGTGCCTGCCCTTTCCAAATGGCTTCCAATGGAGCTCTCCTAGATGGTTTGGTGAAACAAACCATCTGAGTCAGGTTAGTAATGCTCCATCACATGTTTCTATTACAGGGTGAACCTTAAACTGAAGCTTGACTTTACATTAAACTTACGTTGGGTCGCTTAAAAACAAATATCGCAATTCGAATCGCAATCGCAATATTTGTCAGAAAAATCGCAATTAGATTTTTTCCCAAAATCGTGCAGCCCTACTGGATACTGGGTGGAAATGGGACCCCGTCCATTCCTATGAAAGTTGCTCAATCCCATAATGGCTGACTCAAGAGCAAAAAGTACCCTTATCTGGCCCATGAAGCATG